AAGGCAAGAATTAGCCAAGATCATTCAAGATTTGCGAGTGGAATTCGTCGGGGGTGATCCCTATCAAGGTATGTGATATTTCTTTTGTGTTGGGTTAGTTCACCTACACACTAACTTGTTTCAATTCAGCGAAATTGTAGTTGTTTGAATGTTAAGAAAGTGAAGTTCCTGAAGAACATTGTTGAATTCTTATGGGTTGATTGTTGAATGCCTAGTGTTGAATTGATTCATGTTTCCGGGTTGTTTTTCTAGTTAGATTGGTTGTATATTGAGGGTACAATTGATCCTAGGGACTTGGGGAAAGTATCATGGAAGTTTGGAGGGTTTAGAGATGAAAAACGGAGGAGAAAAGTCGAGAACACCTGGGTACAGGGGTTGGGGGCGTTGCGCCTCTCAGCGCGCCCCAAAATGTTCTCTGAGGTTTGGCCTCTGGCACGTCGCCCCAGCCAGAGCGCCCCACCCAGCTCTCTGAGGTTTGGGGCCTGGCGCCCCACGCCTCTCAGAGCGCCAGGGAATCCAGTTCTCCCCATTTGTTCCCCACCATCTCGCACGTGTTCCTAAATGATGTACCTATGTTTCCTAGTCGATTCTAACATTCTAAAATACATCTAAACATCATGAAATCACCCATAAACATGAGATCATGAACGTTGAATCCATAATCCAATTCAAGGAAAGTTAAGACCAAACTCAAGAGAAGTAAGAGTCAAGTCAAGATGAGTTCTTAGAGTTTTCCAAAAGTCTTTTCCAAATGTTTTAACTTTGTTTTAAGACTTAAAGTTCAAGTTGAGTAAAGAGTAAAGAGTAAAGTTTGAAGTTCATTTCTTCAAAAGTATATGGGGACTAAGTATTCCTAAAGAGATTTAAAATGTTTTCACATTTAAATAAGAACGGAAACTGAGCTTTCCAAAGAGCCTTCGGGCTAGTTTTCAGAAAAGAGTAATAGCTTTCTAAATGAAGTAAGCCAGGGAACTTAGATTTCCAAGATAGCCTTTGATCTAAGTTTTTGAGCACTAATCTCAAATCACAGAGGAAATATGTTTTAAAAACATAAGAGCCAGTACATTTTTGGGAGTAGTATTGAGCACCGAATTGGGGGAGCGTTCAAAGAACCCACAGCCCCCATAGAACCATGTAGCCATCATGGATAGAAGAGGTTCATACTTTTTAGATGAATCCTTTTCAAATTAGACTAGTGGATACATTAGGCAGTTCAGGTTCTATACCTTTGGCCGGGTATAGGATGCACTGGCAGCGTGAGATTGATCGTTGTATCATCACTATAGCTCTTATGTGATGGTTGTCAGTTAGAAAAACTCCCACAACAGTTATTGTATTTCTACATACATCTTAGATTTATTGTATCTTTGCGTACACACAGAGTTTATAGCATGTTTTAAACAACTTTTCTTTATATTGCACTTGCTTTAAATTGCTTTATATTAAATGAGCCAGTCAGGTTGAGTTGAGTGAGCCAGGTAAGTTATTCAGTTTCTTTCAGATTCCTTCTAGCCTATGTGTGGTTTAGCATTCCAACTAGCTGCCTCGTACATTCAATGTACTGATGCCAGTTGGCCTGCATCTTATTATGATGCAGACGCAGGTAACCAGGATCAGCATCCAACACCTCGTTGATCTAATTGAGCAGCTCAGAGTCAGTGGTGAGCCTTCTTGCATTTCGGAGGACTCTTTTATTCACTTTCAGTCTTTCATTTATTAGGATATTGTGGGGTTTGTCCCAACATCCATATCAGTATTTTAGAGGCTTCATAGACAGTCAGATAGTTATTAGTTCAAATGTTTTTCTTTATCTTTCAGATGTTATTTAAGACTTAAGTGCCATTTTGGCCAACTTATTATTCTTTAAGTTATTATTTGAGACTGTTTCATTGAGTTAAGTCTTCCGCTGAGTTAAGTAAGTCAGGACAAGGGTTCGCTTGGGACCAGAAATGGTCTCCGAGCGCTAGTCCCGCCCAGGGTGTAGGCTCGGGGCGTGACATATACCATATAATATTTTGATACAGTATTAAACTGACAATGTTTCGTTGGTTGTAGCTCTAGTTGCACCTTTACTTATAACTTTTTTAAAAGGAAAAACCAGAAAAAGTTGAAGTTTGAAACATTGAGCAAAACTTTAATACATTTTCAAGCCTCTAAATATATAATTATCTCCCTCTATGGTTTCTCCTAATGCATACTATATTAATAGTATTCAATTCCTATATATCTCATGGTTTTCATTCTTCTGAAATATTTGAATTATATAATCGAAGACTTACTCTCTCTATATGTACCTCACAATTTAACTATGTTGCTCGAATTCTTCAAACTATATTGTCGCGTTCATATATGATCATCTAAAAATGTTTTTATTCTGTATTTGTTCGCTCCATTTTAGGGTGCGATGTAATTGACATCCGACTTTAAGTATTAATCGATCAAACCCTAAACCCAGTAATAGATAGATAAACTAATTGAGCTATTTGAATTTAAATAAAAATTTAATCATAGTGATTTTTAAAAAAAAATCTTGAGTTGATAATTGAATACTAATTAGTTATGCATGAGCCTCTGTAGAGTACAGAATAAAAATATGAAAGCATATGTTATTGGGGCATACCTTTGAATAATAATTAAAAAAATATATATAATAATAAGATTGAAACTCCCACGAAAAATAGAAGTATGTGGAAGCTGGATTGTGAAAGACAACCACAAGATAAACAAAAAAGGATTCATATTAGACTTAACATTACAAAACACTACATATATTTCCGACACTTTCAAAAATAGGAATGTAATCTAGCAAGTTGTAGGATCTGACACTCTGATTTTCTAGCATAATTTCAGCTCGAAATTATCAAGTTCTTGAAATTCATTAATCCACCCATCACACTTGTTCAAGGAATAATTCGTTTGAACTTGGTAAAGCTACAAAAGGAAATCTGATGGTTGAGGTATGTCTACTCCTTGAAATATTTCATTGAAATCCGCAGAGAAGTTACTTGGATTCAACACATGGGAATGACGTTCCTCGATGAAGTTCATTGATGTTCCTCCTTCACTTCAAGACAACACTCCAATACTTCAGGAGTTGATCGTCATGTTATTGTCTAGATTGGATAGTGCCCCTCCTTATGGTGTTCTTCTGGGTACTTCAGGTCCTCCTATTATAGTTGGTGTTACATCTCCAGTTCATGGGCCTAATGTGGGATTTCAGACTCCTGGTTCCTCTTCAGTGACTTCTATGGCACCTCCGAGATTTGTAGTTCGTTTTGCTAGTGCGGCCATGTCGGTTGCCAAATAAAAGAGCTTTGAGAGATTTGTTAGCTTGACACCTCCCAGACAGTACGACTGGAAAGTAGGCTTATGACTTCTTGACCGATTTCCAGGATAGGTTGTTCAACCTAGGTATCTTAGAGGCACATGGAGTGTGTTGCCCCTCATTAGTTTGCGGGAGTGGCGTAGGAGTGGTGGAGATCGGTTCTTGCTTGTAGGCCCGTTGGTTCTCTTGTGATGGGTTGAGAGCAGTTTACTAAGGTTTTTTTTTTGTATGCATATGTAATTCATGTCAAGTTTTTGTCAACATGATCATTGGTCAAACAGGTGATATATTTAGGTAATAACTGCCCGCCGACAGCGGGATTTCTTTGATTCTCTACCAAGCTCTAATATCATTTTGAAGGAAAATATTATAAACTCAATAGTACTTGAATCTTAATTAAAGTTCTCTCTATTTCTTTATAAATCTTTCTTTTTCCGTATATAATTCTGTGTATTGAAAATGACTAGCAAAATCACTATTTATAATGGTAGGAAACAAATTAGGTTTCATTTGTTTGCACTTAATGGAGGTCTGAATCTGAATGGTCCAGACATTAGGCCATTAAGTGCATTTGTTTTTTAAAAAAGAATTAAAAATCTTTTAATGGGTCTGAAAAGGTCTCAATGAATCAGATTTGTGACAAAGTCTTATTCTTATTCAGACTCTTTTAAACACACTTTTGTTTTCAGAAAAAAAAAATTGTGCTCCATATTTATTTCTAAAAAAAAAAATTTAAGTCTCGTTAATTCTCCAACTTTATTAGTTATCTAAATTATTTCTCTTGAACTTTTAATTTTTGTTCTTGCTAGTTGTTTACCAAGAATTGATAAAAATTATTTAATTAAAGTGCAAAACAACTTCATAAATATGTGTTAAAATTGGATTATTATGCCTTTATAAATTTGTTTAAAATCATTTGAATGTATCATATTCATTATTTATTTCAGAAAAGAGTACATGGCCAAACACATTATAGAAGGTGATCCATGTCTTATGAGTAAAGCATACATACAAAATGAAAAAAATATATTCATTCAATCCTTTCATATGCAAAAGAACAAAAGTTAAAGATTGTTTGAGTTCAACAGAGGCAGAGGCCAAACACAATAGATCAATAAAAACTGTTGAACATCTTGGAATGTTTGAGTTGAGCTTTCAAAAAAGGCATGTAATTTAGCAAGTTGTAGAATCTGACACTCTGATTTACTAGCTTAATTTCAGCTCGAAATCGTCAAGTTCTAAAAATTCATTAATCCAATCATCGCACTCGTTCAAGGAATAATCGTTTAAACTTGGTAAATTAGCTACAGAAGGAACTTCTGGTGGTTGAGGTATGTCCTCCTTGAAATAATTCATGACATCCGCAGAGAAGTTACTTGAATTTAACACATTGGAATGATGTTCCTCGTTGGAAGTAACTGATTGAACAACCGGAGCTTGTCGTTTTTGGGATCGATATTTCTATATAAGATGAAAAATATTTAGAAAATTTGACAAAATCTTGAATCATAAATGTTTTTTTCATACTTGGATACCTTAAGACGGTAGGTGAGACATTCCTTAGTCAAATCTTGCACACACATCCTCTCCAACACATTTTTAGGACCAGCTAAATCAACATGGTAAGACAAATAACAAGAATTTAATAGTAAATTTCTGAACATTCAAAAAATGTCTAGTTAAGATTTTCCTTAACCAACATTCTTATTTTTTCTACTTCTCTCTGTCGGGATAAAAACAAAGTCTTTGAACACTTACCTTTGTCTCCTAACTCGCGAACAACCTCGTCTAATTTCTTCTCAAGCTCTACTGTACTTATTTTTGAAAGCAAAGAATGATCCTCCTCTTTTTCCGAAGGACCACTACGTTTAACTTGTGCTTCCTCTTTTGTACTTCTCATTCTCTTAGACCTTTTTGCCTCATCTTTTTCTATTAAAGAATCTACCGCTTGATCTTGATAAGTCTCAGAGCAATTTGCTATGCTTTTTTCCTTTTTGTCTTGCATTTTCTTAGAACAAGATGTGTTGTCCATTACATAAACTTGATTAGCCTTGTAGTGTTGTGATTTTTCATTTGCCTTGTTATTGTGCCACTTCACATGCTTCTATACATCCTGAGTTTCATTGATGAAATGAGCGACTTCTTAAAAATAAAGCATATCCCTTGTGTTGGTGCTTCTTTTATCATTTCGATTGTCACCTCTGGAGACATCACTAAGCCAAAAATAATAAATCAGAACAAAATATTAATTAAATAAGGTATCTAGAATTGTGGGGAGAAGTTAGATGTTCAAATTTATATACACCACTTTTGTAAGGAACTTATATAAATATTGAATTTGACAAATATATATATAAACTACAAGTAACACTAATGTGTTAAGAAGTCAATTTTTTTATATTATTCTTATAGTAGATAAAGTTCAATAATGTTGTGTTATATTAACACGTTTAAATACACTTTTGAATTAATGAATAGCACACACTAAACCAAGCAAAATAATAAAAATTTTGAGGAAATGGTCTTACAAATAATAGGTTTGTCTTTGATGAATTGAGTGAACTTGATGAATTCAAGGTAGTCCATTTCAAACATGTTGGCATCCACCATGACCAAGTCGAATTGGTTGATATGTTCTCGGAGAATGGATAGAGCTATAGTTGCTTGTTCGATTGCAGTTACTATAAACAAAAATCAAGCTCAGAAAATGTCACAAAAAATATGTATGTTGTGGGATATTTTCATAATAGTCAGTGATACACCTTCCATTTCCTTTATGTTATTACACAGATAAAGGTAGTATTAATTGACTAATAATATTACATTAGAAGTATAGAAAGAAATATTTGATTGATGCTAGGTGACTAATATCATTCAAGTCTTTGATAAGTTAATTAATTTAATCTCGTTGCCTAAGAATCCAACTGATTCTTTTCCAATTAAAGTACAATTCAGCTAGGATGTTGATAAATTTGACGATTAAATGAATATATTTTCATATGGTCTGATATATTGATAACCTTTTACACTTGACAATAAATTTTATTTAGATATTTAAAACACAATATGCTTTGATTGAACATTTAAACAAATGATAAAGTGTTTTTGTTAGACAATTCAAATTAAAAAATTTAGAAAAATCTTATGTTCTCAAACATCCATTACATAGATTATTTAATGACATAATTTAACTAGTCACATCCATTTGTTATGTTCTCAAGCATCATAAACAAAAATTTCAACCATTAATTTATTAAAACAACAACAAATCTAACAAGCTTATTAAGCACTGTTGTAATTTATTAACCTATATCTGCACTTAGTCATACATGACTGAAACACATATTAAAATTTACTAGAAGTTTTAGTCATGTGAATCTCTTCTTTTTTTTTTTGCCAATAATAAAATAATTTTCTTCTTCGAATTTAAACACTCAAATCTACCCAAAAAAAAAAAATTAACTTCAATCTATAAATTTCATGTATCTTACAAAACAAACTCCAGTAAGCAATTTTACATAAATTCACTTCTTTAACTATAGACTATAAGTACAGATTTACCTAGAAGATCCAACAAAAATTAGGGGGGAAAGGCTCTAATACATAGGAGAGAAAACTAAAAGAGACATAAAATTACTGTACCTTTAAAGGAATGTTCTTCAAGAATTGTTTCTATATTTGATAAAGAAGTTGTATCAGGATCAACCAAGAGAATTCTGAGGCCAACATAAGCCAAAGGAACATCAACATTACGAATTATTTTATACTATATTAATATGTGATGTACTTAAATAAAAAGAAAACATGGTCATTGATGATTAATTCATACCGTCGATCTCAAATTGCTTTAGATTAGATGTAGTAATAGCAGTTGTTGTTGTATTGTTTTCCTTGTAGTATATTCATACTGCTAGTGGCAAAGTCATGAATTTTAATTGGAGTGCTCCCAGTTTAATATATGTGTATAAATTAGTAATAGTATTTGATCTATATACACTATATAATATTTCGATACAATATTAAACTGACAATGTTTCGGTGGTTGTAGCTCTAGTTTCACATTTACTTATTACTTTTTTAAAAGGAAAAGGGAAAATGTAAAAGTACCCCCATAGACTATTACCGAAATCCTAGAGACACCTTAACTAAACCAAGGTCCTATTATGTCACGCCCCAAACTAAAGAAGGCGTGATTGGCACTCGACACCTTATGCAATCGAGTTAGCCACTGAAACATACCAATTGACTCAACTGAGGGCCTAGAAGGTTGGGCAACATAACATCTAGAATACTACGACTGGACCCTTAATGTCATAACCTGAATATCGATAAGTCATATAGACGAAGGTAGACAAGCCAAAGATAATAAGGTACTAGCTAGCCGACAAGGCTGCAAATGAAAATATATATACACACACATACATATCTATACATGCTAAGCCTATGTGGCTGGAAGCTGTAGAAAGAAACCCAGAATAATGTGTCCACAATAGCCTCTATGAGTGACATAAGCACTGGTCGGAACAAGGCCCGAATTATACCTAAACTGTACAATAAAAGTAACATCTTATGGAAGCTCCAGGAAGAAGTGGAGCTTACTAACTTACAGCTGAACCCCGAATCCTAGCCGAGGGGTCAATTAGAATCCCTACCTGGACCTGCACGCACGAAACAAAAATACGTTCCCAGGCAATGGGACGTCAGTACGAATAAAAATGTACTGGTATGTAAGGCAGAAAATAGAATAATAAATAGTTGCTATAAAAGGGTAATAAAGATACCACCTGAAACAGAAACTCTGATAGCCTTCATGGCTGACATCCTACCTTATATAATTTAAATATGCATGGTATGCTCGCATAATCGTATGTCGTGAATACATATATATAGATGCAAATGCATGTCATACCCAACCAAGTGCTAGCAATAGTGGTGCCTCCCGGTAGTGAACCGGGATCATATTCGCCAACTTGTGGCCATATGTGTCTCATACGTATAAATATAGGCAATAGGTCTCATACCTTCCGATTATAGCTCGGAAGTAGAATGCATAGCATGTAATGTCATGGATCCGTAATGCATTTGTTACCTGAATCATGTTGCCAATTTGGCTCATTGGTACTCTTGTCCTCATAATCTCGTAATCACTTTCGTATCACATGTAAATATCTCGTGAAACTTATATTCTTGTAGATTAAACTGGAACACTTAACTTGGATTTATAAAGGAAACTTAAACTTGAGGATGTTCATAAATAGCTTAAAGTTCTTCACTTAGTATCTATATATGTTTCCTTAGTGGTTTGTAAAAGAAAGTATTTCAGAAAAACTCGTACTTTAGTAGTTTAAACCTACAATTTATATTTAAGGGAGATCAACGTTTTATTTTAAAGTTTTCAAAAATATAAATTAGCGAGGAAGGAGGACTGATTTCAAATTCATATTGTTCATCTCTAATCTTTTTAAGTTACTACACCTAAAGAAGAATAAAAATATGTACACATGGACATATAGTCAAGAGAATCAACAAAATGACATAATGACGCCAAATACCCTATCTAACCGAACGAGTGGAATAGCAACATAATGGAGTCACAAAAATACACCAGCTGCAATATCAATGCCTTTCACCAAAGGTCTTTCTAGTAATAGAGTAGTAAAACAATATAGTGCTTAGCCTTAACATACCTCGATTTTGGGTCTTGTTGTATCAATATGGATTGTACCCCTTCCTTACAGTATGTAGTCTACAGAAAATCATGTCACACAACCATTACAGGTAGAATATTAACACGTCAGGGTCAAAGTAGCAATTTAGAACTCACTAGCAGAGTAACTAGCTAGCCAAACCATTTTTAAATGTATGCTTCATTACCTTCTCTTCTCCAAATTACAACCTTAAATTAATGACATAACATAAATTTTTGCAGCAGCTATTAACAAGTGGAGGCCTACGCAATAGTCAACAAAAACCAAATAGAGTATGCATGCACAACAATTAAACCTCCGTGTATCGCCACACCCCTCTTTTCCAACCCAAAATAACCCTAACCAAATCCTAACCACGAGTCTTCAAACCATTTAAGCCATAAAAAAATATGTACAATACAGTCCTATAATTGTTCAACATAACCATAATAACTTGAACTCACTGCTTCCAATCATCATCCTATACGTTCGTCCAATAATTACGTTTGTAATCATGTCTTTCTCTTCATATGCAATAAGAGCTTAAAACGACAAAACCTTTGCTTAAACTTGATGGAACTTGCAGTAAATTAACATGTCTTGTCAATAACAAACAGTCTCCTTAAACGCAAGACGTTGAATCATGAAGAAACAATTTAAAAATTGCAATGCAATAATAGAACCAACGTTACACTAATTTATGTTACAATTAAATATCCATCTATACTTCTTCTTCTCTTCCAAACTCATATCAAAAAGAACCACACACATACAAAGCATTTCCAAAAAAATTCCAGCAACAACAATATCAGAAAATACTTCAAAACAGCCCAACATCACGTAACTGTCCAAATACAATTTTTTTCCAGCCGTCTACTCATGTTCTTGCTTATATAGCATCGGTATAACTTGGACTCACTCAGTAAAATGAAGGGTGAGAATTATTACCTCCAAACAGCAACAACACCACATAAAAAATGAGACTCCTTCACCATGAAGAATCCTTCAAATCACAACCAACGAGGAGGAAAGAAGTAACACAATCTCTATGAACGTTCCGAGGGTGAAACCACGTTGAAATATTGTAAATCTTTGCTTGGATGATAGGGGAACCTTTACAGAGGATTTAGGATTGTTTTCTTCTTATTTTGGTCGAAAAAAATGAGACAAAACGAAGGGAAATCTGATATTATAAAGCTAAACTGACATAGGGGCTAGGGGTCCACCTTCACGTGCTTGCTTGTACAGTCTCACTAAAGTCTGAATATCTCTCAATTCTGAAGTCGTATGAACAAATGGTTTAGTGCATTGGAAAGTAGACTCGTACACCTTCGATTTCATATAATGGGATTATTCTAAAGCTTTATAGATTGGGAGAAAAGCTCTGATACATTTAACCCAATTTTCAGAAAATTTATCAAAGAAACTTACTCTAATTTTTGCCGACATTTTATTTCTCGACTTACTTGACTTCAAAACTTAACTTACGATCATTGGGGGACTATATCACCTTATAAAACATCCTTATTAGCATATAAGACACTCTTTGTCTTATCCCCAAAGGTAACGATTAACTTAAACGTTTCGAACGGGCGGGGTTGTTAGAATAGATATTCTTTAACTCGAACTTGTTTAAGGACATCCTTGACCTGTAACGTTAGTCTAATTCTTTGGTCTTTTACCTCCCCTTTGCAAACTTATTCTCCTGAAATGATACACCAAGTCATATAAGCATCATACACTCATGCAATGATACACATATTATGCGAAAGAACCACGGGGTCTCACATATTACCCCACTAACCCATTTTTTTTTGTAATTTTGTATACCTTTTCGGCTTACGCGGCATCCAAATATCTCTCACGCGCTTGAACTGCATGGAGTCACGGAATGTGCCACGTAAGCCAAAAGGTGT